AATAAATATTTTTAGTTTTTATTCTTACATGAATCATTTTATTCTTTATTTTTACATGAATCATTTTATTCTTTATTTATTTTTTAATAATTACTTTTTTATGAGTAATTTCTCTTTTTTTTAATTTTTTTTTAATATAATACAGATACGGAGTGCCTTTTTCTTGCTAGTATATATTATATGTTTGAAACACATATACATTCGTAAATAAATTATTTACAAGTTGTTAATATCAAACTTGTTAAGTTTAATTCCTTTAAATAAATCAACCAAATTTTAAGGTTGAGTTTGTTTATTCAATTAAATTAAATAAATGAGTTAATAAATTTATATACTGAATTAAGTCTGCAATGTGTGTTAATTTTATTATTATTATTGTATATAATTTTAAATAATTTTAGTTAATAACTACAATAATTAACTTATTCTTTTCATATGTTATAAATGGATCAAATAATAATAAATTTATATATTATCTTGTTTTAATATACATGATCTTAAAGTTAAATCATGTTACGTTATTGTAATTTTAATAAATAATTTTATGTTGCAAGTTTAATCTCGCACACTGATCTTATACATGAGGTTTAAAAACATTTGTCAATAAATGAAAACATAGTATTTGTGCTTTAAAAATAACTTGTGATGACTTATTTTATATTTTGATAAAATAAATTATTGTTAATTGAAAAAAATATTATAATAAAATTAAATAATTAAACAAAACGTTTAATCTCACCGAGTCCACAAGTGGTGTTAGAAATGTTATGCATGTTTAGTGTGCTCCTAATTTTCAGAAACAACATTTTGACTGACATGTCTATCAGTTTCTTTCCAAGTAAGAATTAACCACATTTTTCTATTATTGGATATAAACACACTCACACAAGAAAAAAAAAAACAAATTTATAAAATATATATAATCTTCGTTCATACGACACCTTTTAACCATAATCAAATACAAATCTACGAGAATTTATGTTCAAAATGATATTATTGTTGTTATTATTGTAATATATAATTTTAAATAATTTTATTTAATAACTACAATAATTAACTTATTCTGTGTATATGTTATAGATGATTCAAGTAATAATAATTTTATATAGTATTTCATATTTTTTCTTTAAACAAAAGTTAAAAGAATATCTAAGTCATATAATTTCATGAAATGTTATCTGATGCTAAAAATTAAAGTAGTATATGATTGTAATTTTAATAGAAAAAAATCATATAATTTCATGTTGCAAGTTTAACTACCTACTTTTCGTACACCGATCTTATACATGAGGTTTAGAAACATTTGTTAATGAATGACAACATAGTATTTATGCTTTAAAAAATAACTCGTGATGACTTCTCTTTTGTATTTTGATAAAAAAAAATATTGTTAATTGAAACAAAATGATTATAATAAAAATTAACCTCAACTCCTTTATTATTGGATATAAACAAAATATCGCAAGGTATATAAAATACATATAATTTTTATTAGTACAACATTTTGAATGGTGACCAAATATAAATTTATAAGAGTTTATGTCTAAAATAGACTATTCTACTAATATAAAAATGTGTGTGTGAACCTCTAATACTAAGAGTAATTTTAGAGTTGATAGTTAAACTAGGTAACTAATTAAGACGAGTATTTAACTATGAAAAGTAGTGGATCTAAATGCGAAATCTCTTTGGTCAAAGTTTGACAATAAAAAAAACTCATTCTTTTATGCGCGAGAATGAGAACATAAACAAGATAACACTATAAAGAAATATAAAATTATAACAAATTTTTTTTAATATGATTTGACGTTCCATGTCTATATTCACAATAATGTTCACTACTCTAATTGTTTTTTATTATATAAAAATAATAATCTCACAAATATTAAGAAGATTAGTTGTTTGAAATAAATTTTACTAATTTTATAATATTCTCCCTAAATTATACTTGTTATTAATTCCACGATAAAGTGATGTAATTGAAAGGTGGTGCATTAAAGATATTTTAGAAAAAATATCATAAAATGAGATAAAAAATAGTTAAAATTTGTTTATATTTAAAAATATGTTTTATGATGCTTGTAATGGAGAACAAAAGGAGTATCTTAAAATATATTACATATGTTTCTAAAAAGTCTGTCTACAAATTTTATGGATTATAACTGAAAATTCATTCTAACGAGTTTTATGAATGATGAAATTTAAAAATTTTAAACAAAAGTTTCTGGTAAACCTTTTTTCACGTGGCCTCTTCCCTTATTTAGGATGGTGACCTCTTCTACAAGTTAAGTTATTTTTATAATTTCAACAATCTTTATCTATTGTCTTAACACCATAATCTTTAAAAAAAATCCTTAAAATAAAACATAATATATTTCAATTTTAAGCAATAACTTAAAAAATATTTTTTAATTTAAACAATATATATCTTACAAATTTAAATTTTAAAAAATTTAAATTATTTTCCAACAATTCCTTCCTCTATGAATTTTTTTTTCAAAAAATATAAAAATAATATAAATAAACAATGGTTGAGAGGGAAAAATGATTGTAGTAGAAATGGGAGAACTTAAGTTTGATGTTCATCACATAATTATAATATTTCTTACATAAAAAAAAATTGCATACATATTTATATCTACCTTCTTCAATTTTTTTCTTGAGGAGTTGTTGTAATTATTATTGTTGAAAGATAAATTAATGAAAATTTGGAATTAAACAATAACATTTATAAGAATATTTAAAACATTTTAGTAAAAAGAAAAAAAAAATCATATTAATAAAATTGTGAATAAATTTCTATCATTTATGTTGTGTTCGACAATATATGTCCATAGGACAAAACTAATATTAATATCCTGAAAATTGTAAATTACCTTAAGCCTATACAATGTTTATTATGCATTACTTTTGTTGTATATACATTAATGAATAATATCATGATAATTTAATATAACACGAGCTTATACCACATTTGATTATACTTCATGGTTGAATTTGATAAAACCAAATATGCAAGAAAATAAATATAGATAATATGTGTGTATGCAATTAAATATTTTATTGAGATTACAAAGTCCTTGTTTAGGCCTAATTTTTAATCATCACATGACACAATCATTATCTTTGCATTAGTTAAATATCTCAATGATTAAAATTTAAAACTAAAGTAAAAAAAAAAAACATAAATTTTATCACGGATTCCTTTTGTCATGGTATGAGTGAATTTGTTATAAGTAGAAATCAAAAAATTAATATTATTTCCACTCATGTATGAATAATTAAAAAATAAATAAAAGTGCATAAAACCAGTTATAATAATGGAAACTTTGAAGTCTTCATCTCTAAGTAACAATTATATTAAGAAGTAGATGGATGATGTTGTTAGCAATGAACTAAAAAACAAAGCAAAATTTCAAAAGGATTTAAGATCAAAATTACTAAATTTTACCTCTATCTTTAATGTATAGAGTCACAAATTTAAAGTATGAGGTCATACAAATTTGATCAAACCAAAGTTTAAAAACTTAATTCATCTAATGAAAAACTTGATTTTTAAGTTAAAATAAACCAAGCTCATAATTAAAAATGGAATTAAAAAAATATCCTTTAGATTTGAAAAAAAATCAGCTCAATTTAAAACAGAGCAATAGATTATGAGGATGGAATATGTTGTTTGGTAAAAAATGGATCTTCATGTTTTAATTGATTATCATGATATAGTGTATTTTGAAATTACATGTTTTTCAAGATTATTTGATTTAATCAATTACCATTTTCCATTTTTACTTAAAATGAAAACAGAAAATAGAGATTCTAAACAGTTCCCTTTATCCCAAGGGACTGTCTTGCAATTTAAAACAAATACCATCGTGCTATAAAATGTCAGATTATCTTTCCATACGGAGACGCACCGAGCCGAGCCATGTTCAGTGTCCCTCTGCATGTCGATGAAATTTGCATCCTCAATCCCAGTTTCTGAAAAACCCTAATTTTCTTTTCGGCATTCACTATGAGTAGATACGTTTGGAATTGAATTCGGCAATAACAACCTTCCAATTTCTCTAATCAGCGGATAAATGGAGTCCGACGAAGACGATTTTGTTTTCTACGGAACGCCGATAGAGCGTGAAGACGATTTAACCAGTCGCAAAAAGAAGGCCATTGCTGAGGCCTCTGGTCAGCTCCGAACCCTCCCCGCTTGGAAGCAAGAGGTCAGCGTTTGCTCTTCCCACCTTATTTCTGTTATGCTTAAGTGAATTGAATGCACGTGCGAAAAGACTAAGGGAAAATTGAAGTTGATTATGAAGTATCTAGGATGGATTGAAAAATTTTGTTTCTTACTGTGGAATGAAAAATTATAGTTGATTATGAAGTATCTAGAATGGATTGAATTTGACTAGATTCTGCCACTGGGTTCAATTTTGTTTCTAACAACTATGCTCCTAGAGATAACCGGTTAAACATTGAAGTAGCTAGTGGGGTAGACAATCTCTTATTTGAGCCCAGTAGGACCACTATGGGTGGTAAAACTCTCCCTCTGAGTATTTAAGACTCGAACTCGAGACTAACTCGAGACTTCCGGTTAAGTTGGAACAATCCCCTACCATTTGATCCATGTGCTTCGTTGGTAGTGGGGTATTAGTTTGAACATTGAAGTGTTTAATTGTTATTGTTTTCTTTTTCTGCACTGTAGTAGTTATTTTGGGAAGTTTGTTTTGGTTGTATAGTGCATTTATATTCTGAATTAACATTTCAACTTCTGTTTTGAGTTTGAACCCTATTCAGGGTAATGTCGGTGACTGCTTATGTAGCTGTGAAGTGGTGTGATATATGTGATTTATAATTAAAGTTGGTCCTTAGTTTTGTTATTTAAATTCATGTTGAGGACCCTTTAAAAAAAAAGAGAGAATATTTTTGCCTTGAATTAACTCATGCTGCCTGTATCCTAGTTTCCATTACAAATTTTCATTTCACTCTCTCCAGGTTCGAGATGAGGAAGGGCGGAGAAGATTCCATGGGGCATTTACAGGAGGTTATTCTGCTGGTTACTATAATACGGTGGGCTCAAAGGAAGGTACAAGTTCGTTAGGGAATCATAATGCTGCTGTTATAAATTTGAATTTTTAAAGGTGGTGGTGTGAATTTATGAATGAATGTGCAGGGTGGGCACCTCAGTCATTTAAATCATCCAGGAAGAACAGAGCTGAAGTCAAAGAGCAGAACATACTGAATTTTCTAGATGAAGATGAGAAAGCTGTATGCTCATTATTACATGCTACCTTAAGCTTTTGTCTGATGTATAATTTTCAACATATTTATATGTTTCAAAGTCCTACTATAAGTTCACTTCTTAGGCAGTGTAGATGTAAAAATTTGAGGTGTACAGTGATACCAAGCAGATCCAGCTTTTTACTTAATTTCATACAGGATCTTTCTGTAAATAATAAGTATTGATCTAGTTGTCCTTTTCTGAGCTTGGTATATCTTTTTTATTCATTTATGATCAATGATCATATTGTTGTCACCTTTTTCATTCCTTCTATTCATTTAAACATACATGTACCTTCTTGAGATTTTGAAATATTACAAATACCCCACTAAAAATGGAAAAAGAAGCATATCCTTTTAAAAATACGTAAAGGATTTAAATTTGTTATGTTAAAATTCTCAAATTAAGGAAAGTCTGTTCCATTAGAATTTAAGCAAGGAAGTTTCTTGTAACTTTAGTTGGAAGTAGAGTGGATGACTTATGTATTATTTCAAAATCTTAGGAGAGAGCTATGTATTTGTCATTAAACAATATGATGCTTTTAGGACAGTGCTATACTCTTCTTTGCTTGTCTGAAGGAATCTCAACTAAAAACTATGTTGTAAAAAATGGTGATACTGTCTATCATTATTGACCCAAATATAGCATTTAAATGATGTGGATGAAGTCAAGTAGGCATGTTACTTACTCAATTGGCGACTAGTGGATCAATTTTTGTTAGTAGATTAAGTTTTTTATGTGTTCTAACATACATTTTACATGTATTGCAGGAAATGGAAGGTCGGTTGTTGGGGACAACTTCACAGTTTGACACATTTGGTTTCACAGCTGCTGAAATTGCTCGCAAACAAGCAGAGAAGGAACAGAAACAGAGGTGCATTTTATTTCTCCAATTGTTATTGTGGTCCTATGATGTGCATATATCAATTCACTTCTTTTAGAGGGGGAGTTGACTTGATGCTCCCAGGTTTGATTTCCATCTATGTTAAACTAATACTTGGCCAATGGAAGTCACACTTTGTGAGTGCAAATTAGTTCTTTGTTGTTAATTTTGGAACATATCATGTCCATGAATCTAAAAAAATAGGGGGGGGACCTAATTTTCCATCTATTCATGCTGTCTTTTTTATTTTTTATTTTTTATTTTAATTCCTTGTTTTAGAGTTTTAAAATGCTCCTGCTTACCTTAGTGTTTGCATTATATTATGAGGTTTTACATGCAAACTATCACTCTGCATCTCTATTTTTTTTGCCAGTTGATTCTATTGTATTACAAAAATTGTGAGAAGTGTAGTATTATTCAGTATCTATTGATAATTGACACATGGTAATTATTTTTTTGGGAAAATCCTGTTATAAATATTAAAGAGATTGGAGAGCTTGGTTGTATTGATTTTTTACTCTGGTATTTTGAATCCTTCTTCTGTTAAAGGGCATGCTCCCTTTCTATTATGTTCTTCTTCTTTCATCTTTAGTCAACAACACAACCACAGAAACAACCACTGCCAAACCTTTTCTGATAGAGCACTGAAATACGAATATTATTGGAAAACAAAAGAAGAGAGCCTTAGCTCTTACAATGGAAAAACCAGAGCCTCAGCTCCTCAGAGAGAGTATATCTCTGTCAAACAAACAATACCAAAATGACTAACCACCCTCTGCTGTCCCACCTTGCCACTATTTAAGTTACTTGGCATAACAACCTTGCTAACTCAGCAAGTTTAACAAATCTCATTATTCTCCTCCTCTAGCAACATTCTTTTTCTTAAGCACAGACACTTTCTAAACTTTGGGCTTCTCATGACTTGGGCTCAACAATGCATCTCTGCCATTTTCCCACTAGGTGAAGCCGATTACATGGATTAAATGATACCATAAAATTCCCTTATAAATCATTTTAGCCTTGATTCTGTCTTTAGTAAAAGAGATTGTGAACCTTGGTGAAATGTTAAGGTTGCTATGTTAGGACTTGGAGGTCATAGGTTTTCCTGTAGGGCTAACTCGCTAAGGCTATGTGCATTTATCCTCCTTTGACCTCACTAGGTGGGAGTGAGCCTCATGCACTGGGCTGCCCTTCTTTTTCTTTAGTGATGAGGTGGAAAAAAAGGTAAGGCATGCTAGATATCTGTGTATATGATTTTTGGCTTTTATGCCAAATGTTTGTTAGACATGCCTTTAGTTTTTCATGTTTCCGGAAATATTAAACAAAAGCTTCACTTTTTAAATTCTTTTCCCTCTCTGTGGTGGTGATGGCGAGAGTATAACTTTTGAACTTTGTAGAACACCTTAATAGAAGTAATAAAATATTGAACACTGAAATCACACACAATACAGCAATACACTTGCTGCCCAGAGACAAAAGTCTCCTACAAAGAGTATTATCTGTCCACAAATTACACACTGCCGATTTACACTACCTAGAATTCGATACATATACATTCGATACATATACTCCTAATACGTTGACTACCAGCAGTTATTTTTCTACACGCAACTGCCTTCTTCCAGTTTCTACAGCATAACTAATTACCACTAGTTATTTTCTACACATAACTGTCATCCTGAGTTTTTAATACAGAACTGATTTCTAAAACAGTTATATTCTACACCTAACTGTCATGACTGCCCCTAACTCTCAGTTTCTATTGGAACTTCTGATCCTTTGAATTTTGTTGCACTGTTATCATTTGAGTTAAAAGAATTTCGAAACTTGAAATTTCAATGTATTTGTCCTGGTCTCCTTGAAATAATCTGATTTTCCTTCTTTTAATGAAAATACTCCCTTTTTGTGTGTCGTACTCTTTATTCTCCATTTTTATCAAGCTGAATATGTTAACAGAACATGGATGTTTGTAATAACTAACCTATCATTCTACACTTTGGGCAATCATCAATCTTATTTGTGCAAATTAAAGCATTTGCTCCTGAAAGCAAAATGCAAATTTATAGTTTTTTTCTCTCTTTATTCTCCATAGTTTGTCCTTTTTTAATTTTTGTTATTTTTGTAATTTTTCTGATGGGACTGCCTTGTTTGTGTTTTTCTTTTCATTGTAGGCCATCCATAATTCCTGGACCTGCTCCTGATGAAATAGTTGTTCCAGCCACCGAGTCTGTTGGTCTGTTCCACTTAATTTGAATAGCATCTTCTTTATAAAAAAAAATACTTTTTTTTTTCTTACCTCCCAATGTTTTTTAGGGGTAAAACTGCTCTTGAAGATGGGATGGAGTCGTAGTCGCTCAATCAAGGATTCACATTCTGATGCTCTGTATGGTAGGCTTCCCATCATTTTGATTTTGGTAAAGATTATATGAACCATTTATCTTGTTGCATTATTTTTTCATATCTAGGAAAGATATTAATCTAATATAAAATTTTATATAAAATCTTTTTATTAATGTTTTTGTCAGATTGCTGTCTAGTTAACTAGGCTTCCATGTCTCAATTCATGTAATTGTACTGTCTGTAGATGCCAGGAGACAGGCCCGTAGAGCTTTTTTAGCATTTTCTTCTGATGATCCAGCAGTAAAAATTACCGAGTCTGAGCTTATCAAGGGTGATAGTGAAAATTTTCCTGAGCAGCTTGTAGATGATGATCAGTTTTCTAAGAGCACACCGGTGAGGAGGAGTTTCTATTACCAATCATACATAAGTGTTGTATATTTCTTATATGGTTATATTCTTATAGCATGGTTGAATGTTTATTTCATTTTCAATATGCTTTTTGGGGATTGTAATGTCTAGGGGTGGGTATACGGACCGGTCCGGCCCGTTTAAGGCCCGGTCCGTAAAACCCGTGTTTTATACAAGCCGGATAAGTCCGGTCCGTATATTAAATGGACTTATTTTTTAAGTCCGTATCCGGCCTGCCAAAATCCGCGGATAACGGACCAGTCCGCGGGCCTAAATAATAGTTCAAAAAAATAAATTTTAAAAAAAAAATACATAAAATTGGAAGAAAAAAATATTTTTTTATTTATAAGCTAAATTTTATCATACTAAAATTTATCAATAGTTAAAATGGTTTAAAATACTAAATATTAAAATAAAAATAATTACAAATATTTAAATAATAGTACCAAACTTTTAATAATAAAAACATCAAAATGTCATAAAAATAATTTAAATGACAAATACATATCAACTAAACATAATTTTAATGACATAATAATTTAAAAAATTAAATACACAACTTAATATTAAAATCGTAATATGTAAAAATATTAATTAGTGAAGTCCGCGGACTAGCCTGCGAGCCCGCAAATTAAATCCGCCAAGTCCGTGGACTTCACGGACCGGGCTAAAAAATTAAACATAGTCATACGGATTTAAAAAAACGGGTCCGTTATCCGCGAAATCCGCGGGCTTACGGACCGGTCCGCAAACCCGGCTCCATCTACCCACCCCTAGTAATGTGTGATGTGATTTTGACCCATCCAAAGGCACACCCCAAACAGTTGCAATCAGTAGACAACCAAAACGATTACGGCCTAGGACACCTTCGACCTACATAGGATAGTTGCAATCAGTAGAAACCAAAAATCAGCTTTATTACAGATCACAAAACAGCTTTTCTAGCAAAAATGATTTCTATTAGCCTATTAGGCCTTCCCTTTAACAGTATAACGATAAGCAGTTAAGCACTTGTCATATAGATTTTGCTTGCCAAATTTTGGAATACTCAAACAAGAATAAATGTGTGATCAGATCAGATGGTTGCTATTTCAATATATTTGAAAGCTATTTTAGTGGTAATTGTAAGATGTTTGAATAGAGTAGAAGACAATCTTGAATTTATGTGAATGTTTTTGGATGATGTGCATGTTATGTATGAAATACAAACTTCCAATTCAATGTTGGATTTTGTGAATATATATACAAACAAATGTATTAATTATCTTGATTAAATTCAGCAACTGCCTCATATTTTTCTTCTTGTAAATACATTTATATTGATAACAAACATATGTCTTATATATATATATCTTATCTACAGGTATTTGTACTCAACCCAAAAGAAGACCTGTATGGATTAGGTTTTGATCCTTATAAGCATGCTCCTGAGTTTAGAGGTTTGCATTTTGTTGATCTATATGCGCCACCTGCTGATGTGATTGCTAGAAATTCATATTTAACTGTGTTATCTTCTTTTTATAGAGAAAAAAAGATCACGCTTATCCAGCAAGAGGGGACCTGGGTATAGCAAGAACTTTTCCACTAGAGATAGTCCTTTTGGTTTGAAGTGTAAGATACTTAAAATTGAGAATATGATAATAAACAATCTTATTTTCCTCTTGCTGATTTATGTAATTCATTGTCACAAAAATATCTTGCTCTAAGTTGAATTAATTCTCGGTGTCCTTTCATCAGCAG